GGCTATGGTGCAAAGAATTCCAGCCTTGACTTCCGTAGGAAGCCTCCTCTGGCCACTTTAATCCCACAGCCCCACCCGAAACCTGCTGCTCTTCCTCCTTATATGAAGCCCTCTGTTGTCACAGTGTCCCGATAAATACATAAGGTCCCCAAAGACAGACTTGAAGTGGTCACTTTTATGGCCCTGACAGGCCCTGGAGAAAAGAGCACTAACCTAAGATCCCCAGTCCAGGGCTGACAGGGCCCCTTGGGAAAACATGAGAAAGGGCATCTGCAGAAAAGTAATGCAAAGTCCAGAATACCTCATCATGTAGCATGAGAGGGCTGGGCAAAATGGAGAGAACCCAGACTCTAGGACAGAAATTTTGTAATAGCCTTGTCAAGTAAAGATTGATTGATTAGGGAAAAAAGTTAATTGGAAATCACTGAAAAACCAAGGCCCCCAAAAAACAAGTCCCCAGCAGCCTGGGAGTATTGAAAAACAACTGACTGGAAGTCCAAAGCAAGACATGTTGGGGTCTGGGGGGAAATCTGATGTCATGAGACAGTGATTTCAAGGTGAGTTGTGGAAGCAAAGAGGCGTCCTTTGTGAATGGGAGGATTGGCCCAGTGCGAGCCAGGGTTTACGTAAGTGAGTGGATGATAGCACCATGAAGGGTGACTAAGGGGACCTTTGCACTTCTGGAGGTGGGCTCTGTACTAGTGATAACTAGAGGACGACCACACACTCCTGATGAAGGTCCTGGGGCTTAACAGCAGCCAATGGGCCTGGGCCCTGGAAGGAAGGCAAAATGCTGGAGTCTCCAGTTATTTTAAGGGGTCCCAAATGGATGCAATACTCTATGTTTTTTAAAGAAAGAAAAAAAGGGAAGTGGTTAGGTCAGACCCATGCTGCATTTTTGGAAAGAAGACTTTTTAGTGTGTGTGCATTTCGAGGGGAAGCATGAAACAAGACTCGGGGCGGGGGTGTGCAGTGGGTGTCAGAATTCCTCAGGCAGGTGACTTCATCACTGGGGTTCCAGATTCAGACTAACAAGTTCGTATCCTAGCCCGACCATTGAGTAGCTAGGTAGCCTTAGGCAAGTTACTTAACCTCTCTGTGCTTTAGTTCCCATCCCCCCAAATGGTGATAATAATATTTATCTGGGTTGTAAAAATTAAGAGTTAATATTGTATGTATATGGCACATGACAAGTGCTCACAACAAACTAAATGTTTGTTGTGGCTGTTATTACTCCCAAGAAAAGGGCCAAGTCTTATTAGCTCCCATTCCCTCCTTACTGATAAACCAATGAAGGATGGCTTTGGGCACATGAAGGAGGAGTGAGGTGGTGGTGGCGGCGGCAGCGATATATGTGCTCCCCTATTCTTCCCAGAGAAGCCAGGGAATGGAGGTCAAGTGTCCTGATCCTGGTTCTAAATCCACTGTTTAGACTAGTAAGTGCATCAGAAGTGGAGATTAGCCCCTTGACCCCAAAGAATCAGCTAGGTAGGGGACAAGGAGTGACTCTGTCTCTATGCAGTCAGTACTCTCTAAAACATTTTGATTGGAGGACATGGTGCTCAGGAGGGATACTTTCTCTGGTTTTATGTCTTGTGCATCTACCATTGCTTGATAGCAATTCTGTTGAGAAGAATTCTGAATCCAAACCTAGATGCAGGAGAAAAGATGCTAAGATCAAAATTAGAGATGTTTGCTGGGACACTAGCATGTGCAAGTGTCAGCACTGGCTGGAGCAAAAGAAACCCAGCTGGCTCGCAATAGCATGGTCCAGCTTAGCCCAGTTCTTGGATGGGGGGTGGTGTTTGGGGAGCCTGCCACTAAGAGGCAGGCATCCTGACTCCTCTGCAAGGCTTGTGGCTCTGGGCACATCAACCTTCTCTGCCTGTTTCTCCTCATGTGAATGCCTTTGAGGGAGATCCAAGGGGGATTGTAGGAATTGTAAGATATTAGGAGTGGAAGAGGACTTTGAGGTTATAGCAGACACTGTCAGTGACCACCCCACTGCCTTGCTCTTTTTCTGGCATGGCTCGAAGCCTGTTCCAGCTGCCAGCATTTGCAGGGTTTCCCCTACCCCCCAAAGCTTTTGCAAAGACTGGTGCAGCTTTACACAGCAGTTTGGAAGCATCTTCCACCAATGACCTGGATGATCACTGTATAACATCCCAGCTGCTTTGTCCCATGGATGGAATAGCTCTGAGGTGTGCATTCTAGGTTGTCCTGGGAGTTCCACACAGGAGTGAGCTCCAAGTACCTAGAAAGCTAACTTGTTTAATAACATACCCCTTATCAGTTTCCTTCCCTTCCCTGGTTCACTTCCCCACTCCTGGGGTCACCTCCCAAATGAACTACCTGCCCGAATCCTCATCTCAGGGTCTGCTTCTCCCACACTAACACAGATGTTATCTGGCTGAACCACTTTGTGTTAGTGAAGCAAGATACTTGCTAGAACACACTTGTCTGCAGGTACGGGGGTAATAAGAGTCCACCTGGCAGCGCTTATACACAGCCCAGAAGGAATCAGAACATTTGCATCATTAGGGAAAAGCCCCCGCCACCCCCTACCCAGGAAGTCTTGTTGTGGGTGGAAGCCCTGCGATGAGACCTCCCTCTGGCCTTTCTCTCACCAGCCGTCTGTTCCTAATAACCCCACCCAAGCACCAGAGCTTCTCTGACTTGATATTTCAGGACGCTGTCACTTGAAATTAATTGCAACTAATTAAAAATGATCCGGTTAGGACAATTGCACAATGGCGCTCCGGAGACTGCTTCATTCCCTGAGGTTTGGCGGTGTTTGCGGCTGCTGCAGCCCTGGTTGGCAGGATGGGGCCATACATCATCGTGTCATTTTACATTGTTATTTCTCTGAAAGCAGCAATTTAAAAGAGTCTCAGATGAACCTTGAGCAACTTTGCACTAAAAAGAAAAATGTTACTGTCCAAGATCTGTAAAATATAACATATAGGCTCAAAGAAGCCACTTGACATGAAAAGCGGCCTTAAGTTTGTGCCGAGATTTGCATATAATATATAATGTTGTAGCGAAAGGACCCACAAAGCAGGCAGCGGCTGCAAAGCATCGATCCTCAGCCCCTTTGTTCAAACTGGGTCACCTACTGTTCCTGGTTATTATTTTATCACAGCCATTCCTCATGTAGGTGACAGGACAGCATCTAACCTCCTGGGTTCTAGGGGCTGCCACCCCTGTCCCTTATTTAGTGGAAGGCCCAGGTCCTTCCTGACTCTGATGCTGAAAGCATTGCCAAGTCCCAAGCTGGCCTTGTTGGTTTCCAAGCTAATCCCAGGAATGGTGGTGCTGTTAGGATACGAGGTACTTTTCAGGCTTAGAAAAAGCCCATTAAACTCCGAGTTGAGGCAGTGGGCCTCACTAAAAGCACCCTAGCAGCCCCCACACCTCATTTCAAGGGAGCCCAGGTATTTCAAATGAATTTTGGCCCTATGTCCTTGAACTGCAAATCTCTCCAGTCAGGCCACCTGCTGTCCCAACCCCACTTGCTTCTGTCATCTCCACAGCACCCTTCAACCCTATCCCCATCAACAGAGGAAGGGCAAAGCAGGCCTTAGCACAGAAAGGGTCATGTCTGAGAAGCATCTTCCAAAAGTCTTCTAATGTTCATTCTCATTCTGCAATAAAAAAAATGAGGTGACTTTCAAGGGTATCAACAAAAATAAGAAACCTCAGCAAAACAAGAAAAGAAAAAGCTCAAAGATTAAAAATCAAGATCTTTACAATTAAAGGTCCAGGAGTTATATAAAAGACTATAAAGATGAAAGGAAAAAATAGTGAGTAGATAAGTACATAAAGTTTTATGTGATTACTGAAATTTGGCTCTGGGTTTCCAGGAGGTCAAAGCAAAAAGGAAAATAAGAAACACAGTTAATTACAAATGTCACATAGTCCTTACAGGAAAGCAGAGCAACTTCTTAGAAGAAGTGAGACTCATTTTGCATGGACCTCCTTTGGGTCATGCAGCGGTGGACACCCCTCATGTCCTCCTCGTGATCAGGCGCTAGGCCTATGAAGGCACCTGCTTGGGAGATCCAGGAGATGTGGACCGAATATGCAGGTCACTGATGGTGGCTGCATTCAGGGATAAGACCTACATACTAGGAGAATGCAAGGACTAACCCCAACCTCATTTCCAAATTATTCTCCTTGCAAAGTAGAATGCAGGTGTTACATGTGGCTGAGAATTGGACCAAGATGTAGAAATTATAGCACATCTGTACAGTGGAATGTCATGCAGTCACCAACAGGAACAAGAGGGACAATACGTGCTGTTAGGAAAAGTTGTATAAGACGTTGTTAGGTAAAAAAAGCAAGTTGCAGAACAGTAGACATTGTATGATCATGCTTGGATTACAAGTGAAATAATAAAATAACACAGAAAATTTCTGGAAGGTTACATAAGAAATTGGTGACAGTGTTGAACAATGGGAGATAGAATTTCATAGTTCATCTGAGCCCTCCTTACTATAATTTTGTACTGCTTTTAGATTTTGAAAATAATTTTTAAAGAGTTAATCAAGAAAACAATGCAGTTTTGTTATGAAGCATGAAGCAGGTCAGTATTACTGAAAAAGTAAGACATGAAGGGAAAATCTGGATAAATGCATAACCAATGTCTAAAAGTAGTTATCTTGGAGAGGTAAGCTTATAGCAGACAACTTTCTAAATGAATTGTTTTTGTAACTTTTATAATAAGTAGGCATTACTTTCATAATAATAATAACAATAATAATTTAAAAAATTTAAACCAACCTGGGGACTGTCAGGTTGACTGCCTTTTTTTGAAAATTAAGAAGCCTGATCAAGATTTATCCAAATAAATGACTACCTTCCCTCTGTAGGGCACCAGAATCTGCAAACAAGACATGAATTTTTCTTAAGGAGACAATTGGGTTGTCTATTCTGGCACATGAATGAATAAATAATCTTTTAAAAAATATTTACTTGTTTATTTTAGAGAGAGGGGAAGGGAAGGAGAGAGAAAGGGAGAGAAACATCAATGTGAGTGAGAATTATTGATTGGTTGCCTCTCATATGCACCCTGACTGGGGACTGAACTCACAACTCAGTCATATTCCCTGACCAGGATTCAAACCGGCAATGTTTCACTTGGCAGGATGACACCTGACAGATAGCTACACCAGTCAGGGCTGAATGAATGATCGTGACCTCAACATTCTGGCCTCACAGAACCATGATGCTCATCACAGAAGGGGCTTGTAGTACAATCCATAGGCTGGTGTGCTTTTGTAAAAAGCATATTTAAAAATTGCTGTTGTTTTATGGTAATATAATATGTTTGAACTGTTAATGATTTTTTAACAATTCTAGGTATTTCTTTCTCTTTTTCCCCCACCCCCCAGGCTGGTCTGTGCTGCATACTTCAAGGGGAGAGATGGGACAGCAGAAAGAGAAACAATGGCTTGTCCTAGCTTTTACTTTCAAAGGCTTAGGGAAAAGGACCCAGAGAAAGAAAAAATAATGATCAGAGAGAATGTGTCACTCTCGAGATAAAAAAATAGGGACATGGGGGAGGATCCGGGGTTGGTGGTGCTGAGGGGGTTGGGAAATGCCCTGGTGAGGCACTAGGGAACTCAGGGCTTCCACTTTGAGAAGCTGAATCAGCTCAATATTCATTCTTGTTAAATGAATGAATGAACATATTTGTGTGCTTTATAGGCAGGTGAGACTGAACAGAGTGAATCTACTAATGACACCAATGGCAAATTGATGTCAGCCCATGGAACAGAAGGGACAAAAGAATCTTTAACATGCTCTTTCAGGCCAAGGCAGTACCTAGGCTCTCCCCTGCCACCCCAGCCAGGGAGCTTTATGAGGGCAGGAGCTATCTATCTAGTATGAGCTGAGTGACCAGCTCAGTCCCTGGCATGTGGCAGATACTCAGTCAATGTTTTCTGAATGGGCCAACGAACTAAGGTACAGAGAGAAGAGGGCAAGTGGCCCACACCTTGGGGTGCAGAGGAAAGGCAACATCGGGTGCTGACATATTCATCTGCCTCTTGCCTCAGCCCTTGGCATTAGCCAGTGATTCCCAAAGTGTGCTCTGTAGAACCCCAGCACCAATAGATATTAAGTGGAAAAAAGTTATGTGGTTCTACAGTCAAATAAGTTTGGAAAATGCTGGGTTAAATAAAGTTAAACAGGTTTCCTGACTTCAGTACTCTTAAGAGCCTTTAATTTGTGAATATGAATTATAACTGCAAGAGAAGGCTTATGTTTTGAAAATGTTTCCAAACTTACCTAACCACAAAACCCATTTTTCAAGGAGAAGAAGGGTTGCACAGAGTTCTCTTTGGGAAACATGGGCACAACCTCACCCCTATCAGAAATGGAAGGACTTTTGGAGAAAATGTAGTGCTATATTCCCTCTTCACAGGAGAGGCCAAAGAGGGGAAGTCCAGAGAGGGAAAGGGATAGACTGCAGGAAACACAGAAAATCAGAGTTGGGCTGGGCTAGAATCCAGCCATATCTGGCTCCCAGGACCCTTGCTGCTTTCAGTCTTGAGTTATGGGGATCTGAACCCCGGTTTTTCAGCCTCATTTTGTTCACTTGCATTCTCAGAGTCACAGAAACTTAGAATAGGAAAGCCCTTCCCTGGGGGTGGCCTGAGGCACAGTCTGGCTACTCATGGGTGCAGTCAGGTTAGTATGAAAACTTGAGAAGGGCTTGGGCATCCTCAAGAGTAGACATATCCACACGAAACCCTCACAAGTCCTGTAGGCTGCCGGTCCATGAGGTCTGCATCATCTCCATAGCCATGACAGCCTAGAAGGAAAAGGAAGTCAGTTAGCCATTCCTCACAGATAAATTGGAAACAGTTTTGTAAAACAAATTTTGTTTGTTTTGCAAACTAAAATTGATTTTCCAGGTCCCCAGTGAGACAAGAGAAGCAGCAGCAGCAGCAACAACAACAACAACAACCACCACAGGAAAGCCCTCAGAGATGTGGAAGTCCCAGTCCTGACCTCACTCCCTGCTTCTGGTCCCAGATTCCTGCCATGACGAAATTCTGGGCATGTATCCTGTACTCCGGAGCCTAATGCCCTTCACCCACACCTCCCTCCCTGCCTGCCTCTGCCCCTCCCTGACATAGGTATTCCTGTCCCCAAACCCTGGTTTCCAAAGTGTGGCCTGGGACCGACAATATCAGTAGCACCTGAGTACTTGTTAGAATTGCAAATTCTCTGGCCTCACCTCAAACCCACTGAATAAGAAACTCTGGGGGTGGAGGTCAGGATTCCGTGTTTTAACAACCCCCAGGAGATTTTAACTCATGCTGAAGTTTACGGACCACTGCCCAAAACCATACCACTCTGACAAGCAGCTCTGTGGAAAGACCTTTTTCCTTGGCCTTCCAGGTCCCCAGTGAGCAGAGCAGGCAACCTTAGTCAAAATCCTGGGAATCCCCTGACACGAGATCTTTAGAGACTCCTAAAGCCTAGTGGGTTCCAACCACTTGAACTTGGTGCCCCCTAAATCCTGAAGTTAATTTACACTGCCGCATTTCATTAATTGGTCTAATCGATAGAAGCAATTTTACAAAACAGACCTGGGCTGGGGAGATTTTTTAGGCTCCTATTGTAGATATCAAACACCCTTCCTGTGAAATAAATCATGTCAGGAAGAGGGCTATCTGAAGTTTGCTTTGGGGAATCTGGAAATATCTGAGTCTTAGTCCACTTAAGCCAAGGTGGGGTCTTTTTAGTGAATAAAGAGAAATGCTCCAATTGAGTGTAATAGCTTGATTCTAGCACATTTTCCTCCCAAATACATCTGCTTCCTGGGTTTCTATCCAGGTTGACATGGGCACAGTTCAATGGTGATTTCTGGTTGCTGCACTGAATTGAGTAATTGCTGGGAACACCATCACACAATGCAAGGTCTGCACAGCCCAAAGTGGTGGTCCTTGGGGCCCCATCCTCTTCATTCAGAAGGATAACATGACACCCTTTTTCCAACCCTCCACCCACTACTGGCTCTATCTGTGGGCAAGAGGCCCCTCAAATGTGCCCACTGGAAGGATAAGGTGGCTTGCTAGCTGCTTGTCACTGAGAAATGAGGCCCTACAAGTCTCCATGTTACATCTACTGTCATAGCCCTGCTCCCATTGCTGCTCTGTTCCTGGGGGAGGGTGTACATAACTTGGGCACCCATCTCCTCACTCATTCGCCCACCTACTCACTCACCCACCCACTCTCTCAGCTGGGGTGGCAGTGCCGGCTGCTGTGGCAGCCCTCCATCCATCCTTGTCATTCAGGGGCCTCTGAAAGTATGCCTGTCAATATAATGCACAGCCTGTTGAGGGGAAGTGACATTTTGAATAGTGGACACTTTTCCAGGAGCATTCATCCTAGGTCAGCCTCATGATAAATAAACACATTTGGTGTTGAAGTCAGCAGACAGGATACAATGACTGAAATGCAAGCACAGATGCAGTACCATGAGGCTGAGTTGATGGGGTGGAGGTGGGATGCAAGGGGCAAGGGGAGAGGGAAGGAAGGCTCGGCTACCAGATTTGGGGGAGAATCTGCTCCCCTTCCTCCTGGTATCTTTGGGGAAAACAAAGTAAAAAGGATGCTGCCATTTCCTTTTATCCCTGAACCACAAGAGGGTCCCTTCTTCCCATCACCCCCTTTGTTCCTCACCTGTCCCTCCCCACCAACAAAATACCCAGTACCAATCTTAATTACCCCAAACAGCGCCCTAAACAAAGTATTTATAAAGCTTACTGTGTTTGTCTTCCTGTTCCTATTAATAAAGTCTGGGAATGTAGGAAAGAAATACGGGTGGGTGACAGGGTTTTTAATGGTGCCTCACCTTAAATGCATTTTAAAATATGTAAATCAATAAAAAAATTATTTGTAATAGCAGCCTAAGAGTGCTGGTTAGCCTGGCACAGAGTGAAATGCATGCTACAAGCCCTATTACCATACATCCTGGGAGCTGTAGTTAGGATTAATCTGTCAAAGGGGATGGTTTAGTGTTGATGAATATGACATGTGACCATTAACGATGTTGATTTTATCTCCCGAGATTAGCATGATTTACTTCGGATGGATAATAATGTCATTTGCTTGATGCAGTAGATCTGTTTACGAGCTGATTAAATTGTAAGGCCTTGCCTCATTTCATGCTATTTGGTTTACAGCTTCATTACCACAATCACAAAAGCTGGGGAAATGTCCCACATTCCATGTCACAATAAATCACTGCTTCACGTTGCTGGGATGGATTTTAGCAGTTCTGCCCAGCAAGGACCATTCTTGGCTCCCCACTAATATGTGATCCAGAATACATTAAGGGAATCTTCAGGAACACTGGAATGAGATGGGGCAGGAATCCTCTTGGATCTTTTAATTGAGATTAACAAAGTCCTTGAGTAATTAGCTGTAACAAATTACCGTATTATTTAGACAGTGAAGTCACTGTTTTTGTTGCAGGGATGATTACCATAAATATGCAGAAAAGTGACACTCAAGAAACCAGAGGGAAGCTTGGAAGCAAATTTTATTTTCACCCTATTATCTTGTGCTCTGGGACAGGGGCAATCTGAATGCAAGGTAGGTAGGAGACCCGTGTGTAAGGTCCTCAACCCTGTCATGCTTCTTCAAAGTGGAATGGGATGGGGTGGGCACCACACACCCTACCACAGCACTGGCCTCCTCAGTACCTCTGGATGAAATGTGGCTGAAGTGGAGGAAAGAGAGGAGAGCACCTGGCACTTGGGTCAAAAGGGAGATGTGTAAACCCCAGGTCTGTTCACTCCACGCCAACTCTGAGCCAGACTGAGCTGGCAGGGGGGTTCTCTACTCTGTATGTGGGGGAAAGACGGGGCTCTTTACCCCTCACAAATGGTGGTGGGGGGGGGCAGGCTGGAAACAAAGTCCTGAAATGACTTTGTCTATTTTTCTTACCTTTTTTAAAATTGAATTTATTGGAAAGGTCTGGGTTAATAAAACCATACAGGTTTCAAGTATACAACTCAATAAAACATCACTGCATACTGTCTCAAGTGCTCACTATCCAAAGTCAAGTCTCCTTCCGTCCTCATTTGTCTTCCCTTTGGCTACTTCCCCTGCTCTCAACCCCCTTTTCTCTGCTATCACCATGCTGTTGTCCGTGTCTATGTGTCATATACACATTTCACTTAATCTCTACTTTTTTCACCCAGTCCCCCAAAGGCTGTCTACATTGCTAATAACACTTCTGATTTTTTACCACCTGCCTGGTCCTGTTCTCACCACTGACACAATCCTGTGAGGCTAGTATTATTATCCCGATCCCCTGTTATAGATAATGAAACTGAGATTCAGGGGAAGATTAAGTGATGTGCCCAAAGTCACAAAGGCAGCCAGTGACAGAATTGAAATTTGAACTCAGGCAATGGGGCAAAGATTATATTACAGTACCTATATGCTGAGATTTCTCTTTGGTGCAAGGTGAAGCCATTTTATTAGAGGCATAAGGAGGGAGAATTTTTAAGACTTTTGGTTCTTATTCCTGAATTGAAGCCTTTGACACTGAATCAGTCCTGTCTAACAGAGAATTTAGGGTCAACAGTAATCAGGAGCACTGAGGTCAGGTTTTAAATGGGAGCTGTAGTAAGATTTTTGTGATGAGAAGATGTAAGCCTCTAGCCCCTCAAGGCCAGGCCTATGAAAATAGAAAGCAATGATTTTAAAGGTTAAAGGTGGCCTTTCTCTGCTTCACAGCTCAGCATCTCCCTAGGTCACCAATGGGTAGAGGAGAGAATTTGTTGCCCTCTGAAAGTTCTGAAGATGAGGCAACTCAAAAATTCCAAGCTCATGTATTTTCACCTCTGAACTTGAGGTGTGGCAAGTGTCTGCATCTCTTAACCAGAACTCATTCATCACTGTGTCCTTATAGCAAAGACCACTAGTGGTCTCCAGTCTCCATTCTCCCATTTTTCCTGTACTAGAATGCTGATTTGTAATTGATTTTAGTAAAATAAAGTCTACATTTCTCAGCCTCTCTCCATGATACATAGGCCATGTGACTAATATGGCAGCCATTTATTGTACACCTACTCTGGGCCAGGTGCTGTGCTAGACATTGGTGGGTTTAAAGATACTTAGATGCAAACCCACTCCTTAGCCAGCCAGGCTGCTGGTCTGTTCATCAAACATTGACCTGGCAACCTGTTGGGTACTTAGTTGATCTGTCAATAAGCATGCCAGCTATTTGATCAGTGGCCAGACCCTCACATGGGCAGTCATTGGTCCTAGTATTGAACTCTCAGGGTGCATAGATGAAGGAAGGTCCTTTTACCACAGTCCCAGGATGTGTAGAGTTTGATGCAAGTCATAGGCATTAATTCCAAAAAAATCAATACACCCTTATCTTATAACATACACAAAAATTAACTAAAGATTTAAATGCACGATCTGATGAAGTAAAATTGTTTGAAGAAAACATAAGAAAAAGCTCCTTGACATTGGCTTTGGCAATGATTTTTTTTGGATAGGGCACCAAAAGCACAGGCAACAAGAACAAAAATAGACAAGTGGAATTGCATCAAACTAAAAAGCTTTCTACAGCAAAAGAAGCAATCAAAAAAGTGAAAATGCAACCTATAGAATTGAAGAAAATCAACTTCCACTCAAGATGGAGGAATAGGTAGACACACTTTGCCTTCTTGTGTAACCATAGATAGAATTACAACCAGATCTCAAAACAAATAACACCCAGAACCATCAGAAAATCGAGCTGTATGGAAGTCCAACAACCAAGGATTTAAAGAAGCC